ATACATACATACATACATACATACATACATACATACATACATACATACATACATACATACATACATACATACATACATACATACATACAGACATACATACATACATACATACATTACATACATACATACATACATACATACATACATACATACATACATACATACATACATATTTCAAAACAATTACATATAAGTATTATTTGCAACTTATTGCAATTTATTGCATCTTATTGCATTATGTTTTGTAAGGTCTTCTGACGTCTGTGAGGACGCCATCCCGCGAAAACAGGGGCGACCTACCTCACCGTTTACAAAGGACACATGGCGGTGTACTTGACCCCACAATCCTATAGACCGTATACCATCGAACTACGTCTCAGTGGAGCTGAGACTCTTCTTCTGTATATACTTTGGAATATCTAGCTGAAACGATACCATGTCACCCACTTTTCTCCACAGCTTCCCTCCATCCACCGGCCCTCAGTCCAAAGACAGGTCTCGCTCAAGGCGAAGCCTGCATGCAGCCTGGGCAAGTCTTGAAGCATCACTCACCCAATCTCCCCACCAAACAGCTTAGGGTTGTATGCCAAAACAGGCAGAAAGCTGCAAGCCTTAGCTTTTGAGTGGGAGGGGTGTTGGGGGTGGTCTTATGGCATATCTTCTGACCAATGAGCCAAGTCCTGTTCCCACGTTTGTTTTTGTATTATTATCCTCATCTTGGGTACTGAGGGGTCTTTGGCACCTCTCGGCAGGTTCTTTTGTTTAGGGAAAGTAATGAGTTTTGATCCAACATCATTGAGCAACTCTGTCAAAGCGTCAGTGAAACAAAGCGCAAACTGCCTGAATTCAAGTCCACCAAACAACTAGCTACGGACCCTTCAATCTAGTTTGTGGGGAACACAATCAAACTGAGCTATGGCAGCTAATTGGTTGAACATTGCCCTCCTTTGACTGGGCTTGGCCCAAATACCAAAATGACTCGAACCGCGAGAGTTTGCTACGTCTGAAAAAACACCAGTTGGGTCAAATTCTCTGACAAAGGCCCTACACAGATATACATACATACATACATTACATTACATTACATTACATTACATTACATTACATTACATACATTACATTACATACATAGGCAGCATCATACTAATCTTAGCTGGTGCAGGGCCAAGTATGATCCCTATATTAGATGGCCCTCTATTGTGATATATTGGAGTGACACAAATCACGCTGCCTTCTTCACCCTTCGCACCCAAACCTTCGTCCACCATGAGCGAGAAGCCCGAAGATGGCGCAAAGCACCAGAAGCCCTTTCCGGTTCGCATAGTCAGTCAAAAAGAGAACGCCAACCAGGTGGACCTGGGGGCAGCAAATGATCCGAGCGTTGCAGCAAAGCTTCAAGTGAACTAAAGTCTGTAAATGACTCATGGAACCCGGGGGTTGATTCTTTTCTGACTCGAACCCAAGTGACCTTGTGCAGAGCCCTCATAAATCACTTCAATCACTGAGTCACTGACCACCAGCACCTTTGCAAAATTCCTCATCCCCCCTCTCTTATCTCTCTTTCGCCAGGTTCTTTTGCATCCGAGACAAAACAAAGTGAAGGAGGCTTCATGGTTTCGCTTGCAGAAAGGATGGAACCCAGGTGGATGGGACCCTGAATGGCCAGTACTGTTTGGATGCTTCCTTAGTTAATGCCTGGCGAACCCACTGAGGAATCCCAAATCGTTGCAAACCCGCTCGTTGCCGCGCTGCCTGGACTTCATGCGAATGAGCACAACGGGATGTGACAGAAAAAGAGTGGGTGAAGGAGCCGGGGGCCCCTGCACCGAATGACTTGAACAAATCAGAGGAGTCAATTAATATTTTCTAAAATTAAGTCTGAGAGATACTGAAATATGAAGTAGTTCATGTCCGACATGGTGACTTTTGACCCATTCTGGGTTTTGAAACTTGGCTGGCTGCGCCAAGTTGCGCAATCAGCAAGTAGTCTGACTTCACTGAACCTCGAAGACCAATACTTTTAACTTCCGGTCCTGGTGTTGGACTTGTATGTTCATCAGCCAGGCATCTCCGGATTCTTTCTAATATAATGACCTAATGGCTATTATTGGCTATTATTGAGGGCTGTTGAGGGTTCCTGGTTGTAGTCCAGTTGGCTTGTTTTTTTCCGATTGTTTTGCACCCCGCAGGTTGAGTGGCGGACTCAACCCAACTATCAACCCAAAGTCCTCCATGGGAAGCAGCGCTTCTGGGACTCCACACCAAAAGGAAGGACCAAATAAACCAGGTCGCAGGTAGCAGGTCCACCTTCGGCACAAACGTAAACGGGTGAAGTCTTGCTGCAGTAATTAGTTCAGCCATCTTCGGCTCAAATCCTTCTCAAAGCTTTTCAGGTGACCTGCTTTTGGCTCTTGTCCTGACAACTCACTGCTACTGTTTCACTACTTTGGCAACACTTGAAGCTGGCTGCAGCATGCGGCGGCGTATCGGGAGACAGGGGTAAGCACCCACTCTGCTGTTGACTTGGGCCGCAAAGACTCTGTCACTGGTCCACGGCTGGCACCACTCAAATGGCTCATTCACACGAGACGCCGCGAAAATGGCTCCCCAAGTCTCTCTCTCTCTCTCTCTCTCGCGCAGGCCTGCGAGGCGATGATCCCG